TGTGTGTGTGTGTGTGTGTGTGTGTGTGTGTGTGTGTGTGTGTGTGTGTGTGTGTGTGTGTGTGTGTGTGTTGTTGAAGCATCCCAGAATTAATTCTCGCTCTCATTCCCTCCACAAATCATAAACAAACCCTAAACCATAATGAAAAAGTATAGATAGACAACATAATAGAAAATGCAAGGTTGGTCACGTGTGAGTGGTTCAGAGCCAAGTGCCCACACACCCATCTGCCGCCGAAGCGGCACACTTGCACACATACATATATGAGTTCAGCCTCCTGATCAGTACTGGGTGAAAATCCGACGAAACAGTTTGTCACAGCCCCTCATTTGTTGTCTTCTTCTCCCTCTCTGCCGACAATTTACCGGGCAGTTCTGTTTAACGATATTGCGAGGATCTGGGTCCTCGGCAGGCCTAAGAGGGCCCTACTGCAGATGTCCCCGCCCTACGTGAAGGCGGGCCTAACAAATCACGAGAGCCCCTCAGCTGTCAATTTCGTATTTGGGGGTCCAGGTAGTTTCGACGAGCCGGTTGGTTGCGAGAAAACGCAGGCCGAGCAGCAGCACATTCCATGNTTTGGGGGTCCAGGTAGTTTCGACGAGCCGGTTGGTTGCGAGAAAACGCAGGCCGAGCAGCAGCACATTCCATGGCCTTCTGGGCCTTTCCAAGAATGCAGGCCCTGGGCGAGAATCGCAGCCTCATACACTGACAGTTGTCAGGCCCAACCGAAAGAGGCCCAGTAGCTTCAACACAAGCGCAGCATCCTGGGGCCTACCGGAAGATTCTGGGCCCAGGCCAGTCCAGCCAGGCTGCGAAGGCAGGAGGCTCTTTCCATATGGGAAAGAGCTCGCCAACGGCAGCCTCATTCAGGCACTCGCATACTAGCGGCAGCGCTGCTGGAGTGGACGCTCGTGGGCTGCTGCTGGCGCTGAGAGGCGAGGTGCTAGCGCGTGCGGTCGTCAAGAGGGTTACAGGGAAAGGGTTGGATTCCGGCAACTGTTCGCTGTGGCATTAATTAGATAAACGGCCATTCGGCATACATCTCTTCAGGGAACATTATTTTTATTTTTGATTATTTAGTTGTTACAAACTTGTCTAACAACTGACAGACAGTTGCAGTTAGAGTAGTATATTATTTGCTGCATTGCAATCTGTACTAGAGTAATCTGAAAATAGATTTAACATTCCCTGTAGGATCTGACATTCGGTAACACTAAACTACCTAACTGTTTCTGTCCAGGCCGACCGAAATTAGTTGTGTACCATACTCGATTATGTGTCGTGCTAAGGTAGGATTCAGTGGATTCTAGTTTAGATCACACACATTGTAGCTCATGAGTGATGCAAGCGCTAGTGAGGAGTTGTTAGTGAGCGACCTTAGGATCACTCGTAGAACTGCTCTCAGTCGACCTTTGAATTTCCTAGAGTTAGGTCCTGGAGACGAGAGGAGACTACGGAGAGAGGCTAGGGAGAGGGCAGCAGTGAGGAGAGGGAGGGACGCTGTGGTCAGTGCCAGGTCTAGAACTATAGTTAGTGCAGGTGCAACCATGGCCACCTCCTCCATGTCGCAGGCCTCTTCACAGGCCACTTTGTCAGGATTCAGTCAGAGTGGTTCTCAGGCTTCCGTTAGCCAGAGTGTTGGTTTGCAAGTCAGCCAACATGCTCAACTCACGCCGGAGGATTATGAGATCCTCCAAGCAGAAGAACTTCAGGATGAGCTACAGCGGCAGTTGGATGAGGCAACAGAGAGAAGAAGACGAGCTATAATGAGAAAAGTTAGACTAGGAAGTAGGTTACAGGAGTTACGCAAACTAGAAGCATTAGATGAGTCGACACTAGACCCTGCTATGCGAGCACTGCGGAATTCGCTCCTGTGCGTGGCGGAGACACAGGTTGTGCGGCAGGAGGTGCTGGCTGAACTAGTCGCAGGCGAGAAACAAATCTTGGCTGCACTGTAGGCTCCTCGTCCATTGATGAGACAGCCGCAATATGTTGTAGCTCCCCCTTCGGTCTCGGGTCCCTCAGTGACGCCGTCGTCGTTAAGGCCTTCCTTCTCTCCAATGTTTGGAATGCCCCCTCCGGGTGGTTTAGCACCAACTCATGGTCCGGTCCTTAGAGCTTCGACCGTACCATCCACGATAGTGGTAACTACAGTCTCATTGTTAGGGCAGGCCCAAGTTAGTGTGCAGCAACCTATTTCAGTGGTTATGCAGCCACTGCATCAAGTGCCTGGGCCAATGCAGCCCATGCAATGGATGCCCAAGACCCCATTGCTGAGTCCTAAACCTTTTTCGGGCGACAAGAAAAAGGATTGTGCCCACTTATGTGAGGCATAAGCTCACCAGGCCAGAGCAGAAAGTCATAGTTGCTGCTTCCTTTTTCGAGGGATCGGCAGCACGTTGGTTGAATGGCTTAGTGCAGCAATAGGGCCACAGTCAGAATTTTGATGCCTGGGCCCAGGCCCAGACATTGGAAGACTTCGTACGGACTGTGTATAACAGGTGGCATGACCCTCAAGGGGCTCAAAAGGCCACCGACGCGATCAACAATCTTTGTGCCAAAAGGTACAAGAATGTCCGCAAACTCACACACACCATTGAATGCCTGCTCGTAGTACCTGGTGTACACTACAACCCACAGGTACTCCTCACAGATTATTTGAGATGTCTGCCTTTAGATGTCAAGAATAAACTGGTAGACGAGGCCTACGTCGACCAACATAACTTCGCCTCTTTCAGCAAGAAAGCCTTAGATATAGAGGCAAAGCTTGGGTCCGCGCATCAAGGTCAGGGAGATGGTAGGAAGAAGAGGCTTCCCCAAAAAGAAAGGTCAACTTATTGTTCGTCGACCATGATGGTTAGGCGAGAGAAATTGACGACTTCCCATACTATAAGGACGAGACAGAGCATGACGGGGCCAGCGAAACTTCGGATGGGGGAGTCGTGGCACCTATCAAAGAAAAGACTAGGGGGACCGGGAAGAAGAAGGTAGTACGGTCCACGGGTCAAGGCGACCAAGGAACGCCTGCATGGGTAAAACTTGGTTTAGATTATGAGGTGTGGAGGGACCGAGTTGCTAGGGGTGCGTGCATGAATTGTGGCAACTATGGCCACACATCCAGAACGTGTCGAGGTAAGAAAGTCCTAACGAAGTAGCCTCTCCAACGGTGGTGGGACTATCTTCGAACCCTGGAAGTGCCTCTGCGAGCACTTCACAGGGAAACACCTCGGGCCAGTAGGAATTTTAGCCGCTCTTACTCGCGTTGAAGTGGTAACGTTGCCTTCTCCACTTCACGCGTTGGCCAGGGCTAGTGACCCACATATCGCCCCACGGACACATTTAGACCCACCGACGCTCTGTTCGAGAGATGTGTCTAAGTCCCTAGAGGAGTTACAGTCTGAGTGGTCAAGGAAGGACCCCAGAGACTCTTGGGCGATGATCAGTAGAGGTCCAAAGGGTGAACATTTTGTGGTAGAGGTTGATGTAGGTGGCCGTAAAGTAGGCGCCTTCGTAGACATAGGCTCTACACGAAACTTCATCAGCCGTGCTTGTATGGATAGATTGCGCTTAGGGGACCAAGTGCAGCAACTTAGCAGAACTGTAGCTTCTACGCTAGCCAACAAACACCAAATGTTAGTTAAAGACTATGTCAAGGACGTAGTCTGATCCTTCTCTTATGGAGGAGAGGAAGTGAGACACAAAATTTCATTCCTCGTTAGCGACGAACTGCCCTTCGACATGTTACTAGGCATGTACTAATCGAGGTCGCTCAGCCTCAGTTTGATTGGGATAGGAAGGTGTTGATACACAAGCTGCCAAATGGTAGGACCATTAGACTGCAGAAGTATAAGGTTGGCAGTCTAGTGGAAAACTACGGCTGCATGTGTGCCTCCTCTTTCTATAAGTACAAGTAGAATCGCGAGGAGGGCATGTATCTAATCTTTGTCTCTAAAAAAGGGGAGGCCGTAATAACACCCCCAGAGATAGAATCAGTCGTTGCACAATATTCAAACATTTTTTAAGAGCCCACAAGCGTGGTAGAAAGGGAGGTGGTCCATGCGATAAAGGTTGTCCCAGGTAGCAAGGTGCCTAGAGGACGAATCTATAGGATGCCTCCTGCGGAGTTGGATGAGCTCCGATGCCAACTCAAGGAGCTCACAGAAAAGGGATGGATTCGGCCTAGTACCTCCCCTTACGGTGCGCCAATCTTATTTGTCCCTAAGAAGGGGGGTACCTTAAGGATGTGCATTGACTATAGGGGCCTCAATGCCATCACAGTAAATAACGCAGAGCCCCTACCCCGCATCGACGACCTACTGGACAGATTGCAAGGATGTCGGTACTTCACAAAGATAGATCTGAAGTTCAGATACCATCAAATTGCCATTAGACCTGAGGACCAACACAAAACTGCCTTTCAGACCAGGTACGGTCTGTACGAGTTTGTGGTGATGCCCTTTGGCCTATGCAATGCCCCTGGGACATTCCAGCGCGCGATGAATAGGATTTTTCACGAGTACTTGGACAAGTTTATCGTCGTGTACCTCGACGATATACTTATCTTTAGTAGGACTGTAGAGGAGCACGCGGAGCACTTGAAAATAGTGCTAAGTCTCCTAAGATAGCACCAGTACAAGCTAAACTTCGAGAAATGCGAGTTCGGTCGCACCAAGATCTTGTACTTGGGTTATGAAATCTTCGCGGAAGGGTTGAGGCCGGACGATGCCAAAGTGGTCATCATACGGGACTGGCCCAGACCTCACACTATTACTAAAGTCTGATCGTTTTGGGGGATGACGGGCTACTATCGTCCGTTTGTTAAGAACTATAGTACTGTAGTTTCCCCACTAACAGATCTAACTCTACTCAACACCCCTTGGGAGTGGACTAAAGAATGTGAAGCGGCCTTTAAGAAGTTGAAGTATGCACTGACGCACTACGAACTTGAAGTCCTCAAACTTCCGGATCCTGAACAACCCTTTGTTGTAACCACAGACGCCAACCAATATAGCATAGGCGGGGCCTTGCGCAAAAGGAGGGGAAAAAGTTGAGACTGGTTGGGTATACTAGTAAGAAGATGTCGTCTCAAAAGTTAGCAAAGTCCATGTATGAGCGTGAGCTCTATGCCTTATATAGAGCGCTGGTCCATTGGAGACATTATCTCCTAGGCAGATTCTTCTATGTGAGATTTGACCACGAGACCTTGCACTGGATCAAGACACAGCCTGTGCTCTCTGATGCACTCAAGCGATGACTACAAGTAATAGACATAAATGACTATCAACTTGATCCATTCAAGGGGGAGTACAACAAAATGGCAGATGCAGTATCATGAAGGGCGGATTATCTAGGCGCGCTAATGACCGAATTTGGAATATCTAACGATCTAACTCGATCTTTGGTGGAAGCCTACCAGCAAGATTCAATTATGTCTGAGATCATCCGTAAGCTCAAAGAGAAGGATAAAGTAGCTTCTGACGAATTTACAGTGGTAGATGGCTTGTTGTTTCTTGAAAAGGCAGGGAATAAGACTGTGTTTTCCTAGTAGTGAATCTTTGCGTAGTTTATTTTTAGGAGACAATCATGATGCAAGTGGTCATTTTGGCTATAGAAAGACATCAGTTGACTTCGTACAGAAGTTTTGGTGGCCCACAATGATGCAGGATGCAAAGAAATATGTAGAGACATGCCAGGTTTGTCAACATGACAAACCAAGGACGCAGGCACCTTTGGGATTGATTAAACCTTTGCCTATCCCTGCTGAACCTGGGCGGAGTGTGTCCATGGATTTCATGGATACTCTCGTGACCAGCAAGAGTAAAAAAAGGCATATATTTGTTATTGTGGATAGATTCACTAAATATGCAAGACTAATTGCTATGCCTGAGACAGCCAAGACTGACCACATCATCAAGCTTTTTATAAATAACTGGGTATGTGACTTCGGTCTACCTACGTCTATAGTTAGTGACAGGGACATCAGATTCACCAGCGAATTGTGGCAAAGCACAACCCAACAGATGGGCACCCGACTCCAAATGACATCAGGGAACCATCCTGAGTCAAATGGTCAGGCTGAACAGATGAATCGTGCAGTACAGCACATGCTTCGGCATTACATCAAGCCAAGTCAGGATGACTGCGACGAAAAGTTGCCTCTCGTCACCAGCCTGTACAATAACGTTGTGCATAGCACTACTGGTATGACTCCCAACCAATTACATCTCGGTTGGAAGCCCAAATCAGCATTGGACTTTCTATTACCGGAACAGCAACAAAATGCATCACCTGGCAACCTAGAATTTGCTGTCAAGTACGAGCAGATGCAGCAGCAGGTCGTTGAACATATTAGAAAATCTCAGGATGTTATGATATCATCTGAGAATAAGCATAGACGGCCCTCTAACTTTCAGGTAGGTGACAGAGTCTGGGTTAAGTCATCTGAACTAGGTCAAGAGTCGGGGATTTCACGCAAACTAATGCCACAGTATTTTGGGCCCTGGGAGATCTTAGACATTGTAGTGGATCAACCGGATGGGCCTTCATACGTGATTCACATGCCTGCACACTTGCATACTTACCCTGTGTTCCATGCCTCAAAGTTGGCACCTTTCGCTATCACTGATCAGTTTCCCTCCAGGAGATCAATGCTGCCCCCAACCATGGATGGACACGTGGACATTGACGATATCATCGAGAACAAGCTGATGCCTGTACCCAAACCTCTAGGGAGGGGTCGACCGCCAAAGCCACAGATGCAATACAGAGTGCGGTTCAGACATCACATTGATCCTCAAGAAAACCGATGGTTCACAAGAAAGGAATTAATGAAGACTGCTCCCCAAATCATCTCAAGTTACGAAAGAAAGCTGAAAGGGAAGCAGCCTGATACATAAGAACTTCTCAGAGGACTATCGAAGAAAAGGAGGAGGGAATGCGAGGATCTGGGTTCTCGGCAGGCCTAAGAGGGCCCTACTGTAGATGTGCCCTCCCTACGT